CAGGGTGCTCACTCTAGCAGCGCGATCGTTTACATATATGAATATTGTTCACGAATGCTGATACATCCGATATTTCTTGTTACAGTAAACTATGCCTTAACTTTTTTCCTGATATATATATATATATATAGTATGACGATCTGAGTTAAATTTCAGCTTACTCATTTCTAGTAAAGTAAACATAGCAGCATTTGCGTTTTCGTAAGCCTTGACGAGGATCGGCTCTGAAATACTGCTGATTTGCCGCTGTCTGCTAATATTTTGGTTTCATTATCTAATGCTGGCTTCAACAGCTGAGTGTAATGCGTTTGCAATATAATCTTCATCGATGCTGAAGAGATTTGCTGCGCCCGCAAAATCTTTATCATCAACGTATCGGAAGGGCCTGACTCCGCGTATTTCCGGAAGCTCTACCGAGTCAATATTAATAGGCACATATAATGATCGAGAAAAATAATCAGACTTAGCATAATTCCATCTTGGTAACCTAATAAAACTATAAATAGAAAATAGAACCGAAAAATGACAGGAAAATTAATTGTCGATTTTGCTGCAATGATTTCATGTGATAGAACAGTGGGCTTAGTCATATGAGTGAGTTATTGAAATGCCGGATAATGTTTGTCGTCATTTAAATAGGGATGCAACCAGGTAGAAAAGAAAAGAAAAGGATACACTTATTTAGAGCTAAATAATGTCCAGATTACGTTCTATTCACATCTACGGTAGTTTACCAGTCTTCTCAGACGTACGCGTCGGTCAGCTGATACGTTTTTTCATAAACTAACCAGATTATAAACCGTGTTATCCCTCTAAGTAACGTTTGCTTCAACGCTAACCTGAAACCACTCATTCACTCCAAAAACGTTCTATTCTAGTCCTTTTACTGGATTCTTAATTGTTCCTGCGTTCTACCTCAGGCAATCTATGCATCGTCCTAATTTGTTATCTGCTGCTTTTGATGTACACTGCAAGGGCTTTATATATTGTAAAAATGGCAAGTTTCACAGCACACAGGGTCGTAGATAGTAATCATATTTTTAAGGCCAAGTAGATTGAAAGCAGTATTAAACTTAGCGCCGTACAGCGTACGGCCTCATTGACTTCGGTGCTCACAAACAGCGCGAAATATTTCTTATAACAATAACAATAGCAAATACGTGACTTCGTACAGCAAGCAGTTCGACTGATATTTTTCTTATATTAGCTATATTAAATTAGAATCTAACAGATCAGTATTTTCATTGACGATAATAGAATAGATCACTTTTGTACTTCATGCCCAGATCATGTTTGTTTGTTAAACCCTAACCCAGTGCATCCTGCCTATACAGATACGGAGTGTGAACGAAACACGGTCTGTTTCTTTTCGAGTGTAGTTTTCCCAGTCAATTCTCCTTTGAAGTGTACGTAGGGTTCCTATGCGTCCGTATAAGAGCGTAATGCTGAACGAGCTTGCATCCCCCTTTGAGCTCGACGCCTTCTCGTCATGACAGAATGAACATCTTTCGATATTCACTTGGGCCGATTTGAATTAGGCACCCTTGGCGCACGGCCTGAAAGGAATATTTTGCAGGAAGTGACAGTTCCTATTGAATGGAGAACAAGCAAGAAAAAGACAGGCTTTGAAAGGGCAATATTATGCACGTCAAGGAGTCCGTCCTGAACAGCAAAAAAACGTGTGAAAAGTATGCTTCGTAGATCTCTATTGAATAGCGATCTGAAATGAAGACATCGAGGCATATGACGGGCATGCGTCGGAATATTGATCGTGTGGCTGCCATTGGGATTATCCAAAAATGGTATAACATGTAAAACGTTCAAAAATAAATACCAAGCGGCAACACAAGATTCGGTGGGTATGCCAATGAGATTTCATCCATTTATTCCTCAATACATTCGCTGTTTTATACGCTGTATATAATAAGAGACGAGAATAACACAAAGAAGAGGACGCAATTTAGCTTAATTTCATCAAGCCACAACTGTCCTTCAGTAAATCGTTTAGGAAATTTCATTGTCTGCGACATAAGTTGAATGGAACATTTGCGATTACTAAAAACAAGCCGTCATTCTTTATAGTGCAACGAGGCTGACTCGCTCCGATCTCACTCTGTCCATGAGACTCTTCTACTTTCATTAACCGAGGTACTTAAAACGAAATACAATGGACGAGGTAAAGCAATACATCTCAGCTATAGTAGAACAGCCTAAAACACCGTCACATATCGCCAACACCTTTAACTGGACGCAAAGAAAATTAGCCATTATTCTACCTAATAATCAGTACCAGTATATGGAACGTACTGTAGCCTTACTATTTTTTTTTCTGAGCTTCCCTTTCCAACGATATGGTTAAAAAGGAAAATATTAAATTTCTGAGAGAAAAAAAATAATGCTAATAGTTGATTTACAGGTTTCATAGTCGTTGAGATGAACCGGATCTATACGTAAATTTAATATAGAATAGTATTACTACCTAGTTAAGAACATTTACTTGTTTTGTAAATTGTTGTAAGATTCATTTACTTATTCTATAGTAAGAGTAGTATAGGGGAAGTAGGTCTAGCTAAGCGTTGCTTCGTATAAGGTTGTCTAGCTGGTCCTCAAAAATGTGCGATTATTATGTATTGCCGCCACGTTGTGGTAAATTTAACCTTTTTTTTTTTATCTTCGACTAACAAAAAACTCAAATATCAATATGGAGCGTAATATGCATATGTCAAATAGTAGACACGACGCGATGCAATCGTTCCTGTAACACCTTCGTGTTATGAGGTACTAAATTAGTGGTCAAGCAGATTATTATAAAAGTATAAGGCTTTCAGGTGAAAAAGATGGCCAGGATATAAACTATTCAATAGAAAGTGTTCTGAGTCGCGCAGTAGAGATTTTCATTCTCAGACCTAAAGTTCACAAAAACAGAAAATCCGACACAACTTCTCTGAAGTATTTCCATATCATCGTCCCGCAGCTGTTGCTGCGGCGAAGTAAGTTCAGCTGTCGCATCCAAAAACCTTCACGTCGACGTAAGAAATCTTGGGCCCCGCTCTGTAGTTAATCAATGTTTACTGAAACTGTGTGTCAGAAACGCAAACTTTTATTTTGTAATCGTGAAAAATTAGGCCGTACAAAACGGACATCAGGTTCAATGCGTAGGAAGTGGAGACGTACGCCACCGTTTGCGTTTTAGCTTATCCGAACCTAGAACAACAGAAAACTCTGAGAGCAAAACCCTTTCAACCGCACTCAAAGATTAATGAAATGAATGACCCCTGCTTGACCGGTGCTGCCCCGAAATAAAAGTAGGTTCTAACAGACCTAGGGGACCAAATTTGACACTAATACAACGAAGAGGGATTCGGCCAACAAGATCCGAGTGAGGATTTTATGGATAACGGATGTTCTGCGGTCGCTCCGTTCCGTTCCGTTCTTCTCCGCAGTCCTTGTTTCGAGCCTGATAGTCAGATCTGCTGAGCTGTGACTGTCTGCATATACTACCTTTACGTGATTATAAGCTCCACACGGGACTCACAATATTTGGACGCGTGCGCAGGTATGCTGTACTACTAACTAGCAGCGGACATAGAAAAAGCGGCGGGCAGCACTCAGAGACGGTGATTCTGCCACGATTCTTTATTCATCTCGTTGGCAAAGACATGCGACTGAAGAAATACGTTGTACCGCCCGCCAGATCATTTTCCATGAAGCTGAAATGGAAGGTAAAAGTTTTGTGTGGTCAGCGGAGGCATTGTTTAATGGTGTATTTATCTACATGGCCATGTGTATTTGGTGTCCGAAAGATGAATGTTCCTCTCCAACATAGTTCACGTATATTTATGGCAATTTTTTGAAATTGGACATCGCAACAGTGTAGACGATCATGGACAAATGTATTAGAAGGCACGCTATTCTTTCTCATCCTTTAGCATAACTGGGCAGTTTTAATACTAAGCGAAGACGTAGTGAACGGATTAAGTCCGTTAAATGGAGTCCTTCAAAGAATCGGCACATTTACCCTTTACGTTAGCCGAAGTATATCATTGATTCCGATTTACGACTTCACTAACGACCAAATATCCCAACAACAGTATGCCTATCATTATTATTAACAAGGCGTTCTGAATCACGATTTTTATAAACAAATCCAAGAAGTACTTAAAACTCCTCTCGCTCTATTTAATAATTGGATACGTTGTGGAAGGCTTGAATTGACTGATATAGGAAATCAACATCATTGACGGCCATAATAAAAAGACGTTTAGTCAGGTTCTTACAAGCCATCGGAGTAGAGGTTCACTATACCAATAATGACCTCTTTACATTAGCTGTACCTTCCATAAGCCGTTGGGCTAACAAGCCAATGGGGCACCTAACAACGATTCCTCGCCATACTGTAATCTTCTTGACGTTTCGGACATGCAAAGTCTTGCTGGAATGACATCAACGGCTTTTGACATATGTTGATTTTTCATTATTTGAGCTTATGCGCCACCTGGCGGATACATCATTGAGCAGCTTTGACCCAATTTGACTATGGAACATTTTTGGCCACCAACATGCACAGAGAAACCTATAGAGATTTTGACTAAATAAAAATTTCTTAGCATTGACCACTACCTCGGTTGTGCAACGGATGCCATAAGAGCTTCATCTATAAACAAAGATGCATGTGCACTTTTGCTATGACGTGCAACAATGAATTGAGCTGTTATATAGGCGTTAGAAAAAAAACGTGATGATTCAATGTGAGATTTTGCTAGCTAAGGTACGTGTTGAGGCGCTAATCGGCGTGACTGTAGCTTTGCACACATATACGTGCGCAGAACGTTCGAAACAGCTTTGACAACAAGTCCAATGGTCCTTTGCTGATAGAAGTAGACAGTGCAGTCGATGCTTGACCGTGAACGACAAACGTCGCTAAGAATAGCTAGTTAAGTGTTCCCCCTGCATATCATAAGAGAGACAAGGACGTCATTCTCTTGGAAACAGGTCTAAGTGATTTATTACTTCATTAGTTAAATAGTAGTTAGGCGATCTCGGCTAGCGACTTTATCGATAAGCAGTGGCGTACGTTAACTAATCTCTACGCAAGAACATAATATAATTGATAGAGCTAACTATTTCCTTATAATAGGGTCGTTTTCGCGGCAGCCGACATATTGTGGCCTAGACCATGTATCGTGCTCGCTTGATTCGTAAGTGATATGGGAAGACAGCTGTGTGATATCATCTATTTACGAACGCAACGCCTGTCCCGCAATTTAGTCCACTGACAATCGTTTTCAGTTGTGAGTTCAAAGTGTATATTTAGCGAAGTCATCATTTGTAGCCGACCACGAACCAGCGTTCGAAGATAACGTTTAGAACAATTAGTGGAAAAACGTCATAAAGACGATACGTTAGGTTGTAGAAATCATACCCTTATTGATTGGCCAGGGCTCCGGCGAGTACCAGCGAAAGTTAAATCAAACAGTTCAACTCTATTGAATGTAACATTACTGATTTAAAGTCTTTAGCAGCATATAGTAGTTGGCTGACAAACGTTACTCCTCGGCCACACCTCTATATATATATATATATATATATATATATATATATATAGATATATATCGGAACGCCATTGAGGATTGTGCACGTTGAGAGATAACCAGCCCAATTTGGTTCTGATTCGATGTAAGTCGATTGATCAACGAACGCTATTGCTTGTTCGCTGATTTCCACTTTTCCGGCCTACTATAGCTAGCACAGACTGTACTGACCTGCAAAGCGTGGAGTTCGGCTTGCCTCTAACAATTGATTCATTTTTTTTTTCCTTCATCACATAGGATTGTGCCCGTGGACGGCAGTGGGGCTGAATAACTTAATCGATAATAGCTCGGGTATATATGATGCTACGACGGCGGAACGATGAGAGCGCTCCAGATATTAAAGTTGTTCTGCTCGGAGATAGTAACGTCGGAAAGACTGCGATGATCTATTCCTATACGCTGAATATCTTTCACAAGAAAATTTCAAGTACTTGCATGGACAGTTATGAGGTCACGGTGAATGTAAAGCAAAAAGAAACGATATTGGGAATATGCGATACTGCTGGTTGGTTGAATGAGTTCATCTTAGGCGCAGCATCATGACTTGGCAAGGAACCCATGTAGCGGCCGAACACGGCATCCGTAACTTAGACGCGCAACGCAGGGAAATCATAGGGTTCTGCAGTTATATTTTGTACAGTTACATTGAAACACGCCAGTTTTCATGGTCTCTAACCGACCGAACTTACTTTAACTGGTCCGAACTGTTACTTGCATTAATAAAAGCGCTCTTTCCTCATTCATTTTTACGTATTTCGTAGGGAACGAGGAATTTGATACGCTACGTCAACTGGCGTATCCCGGATCGGATGCATTCATCATTTGCTTCTCGTTGGTAGACCGTTCAAGCTTCGAGCATGTCTGCAGCTGGGTAAACGAGCTGAGGATATGGGAGCTACACTCCCCAGTAATTTTGGTCGCCACGAAAAAGGACTTACGCGACGCGCAAAACAGCTCTAGCTCGGGGTACCTAACATAACACTTCGTAAAATAGAAATTAAATCGTTATTAGATTTTCCCTATCTTCAGTCAGAAGGCCCAGGCCTGATATGCAACTGAATAATGGCTACAAAGTTTATTTTTTTTTTTTTATTTGTCATGCGTACCCGACCTAAACGGTTGGTCTCTGTTGACTCGGTGAACACATCGGGAAGAAGCTCGGGACAATGCCGGGCTTCAGCGGACTTTTCTAATCAGGCGAATGGAATGGCTACAGATCGCCAACGGTGTAGAATGATCAAGTATAATAGTAATAAAGCGGAGAAGAAGAAGAAGGAGACTGCGTCCTACGATACGTGGGAGTGTTAAGAAATCTTTTCTCTTTGGACGCTACGAAGCGAGCTTAAATTTTCCGCTAGATAAATATGTCTTTTTTTTTTTTAATTTACTTTATAAGCAGGTGTATTAATCCGTCATTTATTAGTTTCTCCGAAGGTCAACGGCTGGCCCACCAAATCCAGGCTATCAGATACATCGAAACATCAGCGTACACCCAGGTAAGAAAAGGCTATATTCAAACTGAGACAGTTATCTTTTTTTAAACTGATCCTCCATAATTGGCATTGCTGAAAAGCTGAAGATAGCAGTAGCGAAAAACATATTTGCCTCGGAATGTAAAATGTACTGCATGCACACAACGGCGTTTTGACAATGTCAAATCCTGTGTAGCTCTCTTCCTATTCTAGCAATGTAACGTTTTTACTAAGAAACAACAACGATTACCAGGGCTAGAGGCATGTGGGAACTAATATCTGCAAACTGCTGTTGTTTTAGGAAGGTATCAAAGACGCTTTCGATACCGCCATCATGATCAAACTAAATGGGGTTCTCAACGTTGAGAAACGCAAGAAGAAATGTACGCTTTTATAGTGTTGACGCTGGTGATTCTGATGATTGATTGTTCGATGCAACGAGTGGTGGCGTTCGCGGAACCGCGCTCGATTTGTTGGAAGGTGTTTTGCAGCTCATTCCATAAACTTTCGCTAAAAGTAAAACGCTTCTGCTCTGCTCCGAGTCAATCGTGGATGGTCTGTTATAGTTCAGTTGTCTACTACGGCCCGTCGAACTGTTGTTGAGGTAGAGATGCTGTGCCTCGGACGAGGATACGAAGAAGAGGCACTGGCCGCTACACAGAAACTGCCATATAATACCTTCACTGATGCAATACAACGTCCGATTTGGCTCTTGGACTATACTGAAGAGCGGGTATTCATTCACTGTCAGCGTGCCATAGTGCAGAATCGAGGAAACTTGATACATACATTAACTATCAAAGTTGATTCGAACGGGCCATTGCGATTAGCATTATGTAAACGATCGTCATTCAGAGAACTTACAAGCAATCCTGCCTAATTTATAATTTATCTAAAGTTAATCATCGAACTGACGTCCCGACTAAACAACGGCTAGGCCGCTATCGTTTCTATGTTCATTGTAAAAATGTATGCCCATTACCATATTCTTTTGCTCAATTGAGTAGGCCGTCAGCCTTCAGCACAGCATCATCTAGATAAACCAATCGTGTTCCTCTTGCTTGAAAGCACCGGACGATGCTCGATTTTGCGCTGAAAAACAAGTTAATCACATCGAACTAATATGTTTGTCATGAGGAAACATATATTAATCGAACTCGAAAGGACTTCATTCATCTGTTTGCTCTCATCATTGCGCTTTGTTTTCAACCTACCCAGTGTTGCGAGGTTACCAATGTCAAGGTTCATATTGGGTAGCTTACGAACTACAATAAACTACAAAGGTTGCTTGACCAATACAACTTTGATCCAAGATGCGTCTTAATTGTTATATGTTTTATATCTATATACTGACGACTCTCCCTGAACACGTTGCATCGCCTATTGACCGTTGTACTTCGTAGTTATGTGTCATAGTATCCACTGTTGCAATGTACGAGACATACTTTTACTATACGACGGTATTGTTTCTCCTACGCAAAAATCCTACAAAACATTGTGCTGCTTCTTACAACCAACTCTTCCTGCGTTGTCTGTAAAGGGTACGCTGCTAGTCTAGCACGCGTTCAACTTCATGATGAATGACTGCATGCTTACTTAAATGTTCAAGTTACCTAGGTCAATGTTCTTTACCACTAACCTTATGTAGAGTAATGCTGACGATATTCTATACGCGCATGTCTGTCGCAACCGTACCAACTAAATATCTATCTTTATTTCGTTTCAAAACATCTACATTTCGGCAAAATTCATCGGTACTAGTGGCCTCGCAACTTCGTTTCATAACCTGACTCTCAACCTAGCTGCAGACTCCTAGCTCGCAATTGGGACTCCCTTGCCTCAAATCTTCTACGAACGCTATTCTAACCGCTAAGGCGTTTTTTGACATTGAATGTTCTGAAAGTACTTTATTAAGTTGCTGTATTGAACCATTTAACGTAAATCCAACAATGCTTTTGAGAAGATTGTTGGTGATAGCGTTCTGTACGGAAGTTGTTCTTCTTTCAGTTTCTACCTCACCTGCGCTATGTTTTTAAGGCCGTTTCGATCCCTAGACAACCGTATTTTACTTGCTTTCGCGATATCGAGTCTCTATCGGCATACAGAGTGAAGCAAATTATCGGACCGTTTGAGAGAAAGTTATTTGACGCTTGACGAGTTCCTACATCTGCTAAAGTTACCGGAACAGGCAGATCACCACAACTAATATTTGCAACGAGAACGCCGTAGTGCTCCTTCTATTCGTATAGCGTTATACCATAATGCCGTAACATTAATCTATGTATAGGATGGTAGGAGCCACTCAAGCGATCCGATTGACTAACACTCAAGCCTGTCAAGTAACCGGCTGCAGGTTTGTGTTATAGGAATATAGAGATACTATTATGATGCATAGAAAAATCCACTTGCTACTGCAATAGTTCGCGCAGGCAGTGCTCCTTAGAAAAGAAATCTAAAATGAAGACTTTTCTGTTGCTAAGAGACTTTTCGCTCTGTTCATCCCATACGTAAAACCGAAACATTGTTACAGTCGATCGCCATCGTCGGCAGGTACGTCGGCAGAGTTCGTCTGACTAATTTCGCTCGTGTCATCTTCCGCGGTCTGCACGATCCTTCTATTCGCTTTCATCTATTGCAGCTATAACTTACTACTTATCATTCGCACTTTTTACTAGCTGCCTATGCCCGTTAAGTATACGACATCCTTTGTCTTCACGCACGTCTCAAGCTTCATAGCTGATACGTGATTGTTATTAGTGGGCGCCACACATACATCGACTCCTATGTTTGTACGACTCGTGTTTCGCTTCGCTCTGTCCATGGCAAAGTGAAATCCATGATCTCTCCTGTTTTCACTTGCCCGCATGCTAGAGCACCTGTGTATTTTTCTGCTAATTTTCAGATAAGTTAATCTTTAAACGGGCAACCTCCAGTAACATAATCGCTAGTGTTTTTCTCGGTTTGTATCGGCTCGTAGCCGTTTTCGGTCTCGATGTTTTCTGTGTGCGCCCGTATAGCTGCTTTTGCCATTTGCCAACAGTGACTTCCAGTGATTTAGGTACTCAATGGTTCATTCAATTCGGGAAACCTTTTTGCCCTGTCGCTTAGCTCTAACTTTTCACCCTCCATTCTGCATTCCATAGCCCGGCTTTCTGTCCGTTCTATCCCTCTGTCCACCTGTTATTTTGTACCCTTAACATCTCTATATTTATACTGACCTCCTGTTACTGACCTCGAATGCGGTCTTCCTTTGAACGTGTTAGATGTTGTCTTCATTTTATTGATTTTTTGTCCATTTTTGCCCGTTACTTCTTTGCTCCGGGCTCGCATCTGATTTGATGCTCCAGTGTTTCTAATCGGACTTCTACTTCAAGAGGCGTTTTCGTTTCGAAGAAACGAACAAATTCCGTTACCTTCTTACACTAGAAAAAGGACTACTTTTCTTAAAATCGTCCATAAACGGCTGCTGATGTTGCTGTTGTCGTTGATTGTTCCGTTACTCCAGCTCTATTGATCCGTCGATCGTGTCCTGCGTAACCGTTCATGTTATCGTGTCGTAGTGTTTTGTCACAGCGGTCAAATCACACACAACGTCTGAACGGGCTATTTCACATACGTACTATACGTAAAAACAAACATGAGATAATTTTCTCTATACCGTATAAGTGACATTCACTGATCCGTAACATAGCATTCGTAGAAAATTTTTTTTTTGGATAAAATTAATAAATGATCGATAACGTATGTTACTTGCAGGAAATTGACAAAACAAATACTTGTGACATCTTATTTGAAATAGTTCACCGATATCGAAAATTGTATTGAACCATTAACGGCTTCATACAAAACACCCGGAAGAAACGCACCGTGTCCGATTCAGCACGAAGCCTCTTGAATAATACGTGATCCATAGTTTCTCTCGACAAATAAAGGCTCAGTTTCGAGTCCATATAGAGACAATAGGGCAACACGCTCTTTCCACAGGCCGCGCATTGAAACACTGGCATAGGTCTTTTACTAACCATTTCAGAAGCCTATCCATTACACAATGATATCATTCTCACTTATTATATTGAGTTATTACATCGTACATTTTTTTGATGAGGATTTTTTTTCCATTTAGGTGCTAATTAGATCAGCTGCCTGGCGGATTCAGGCCAGTTCTCTTCTGAAAGCTTCGAGGTTCTCTTGAAAAAAAGCAGTCTGTTCTTCTAACGACGGTCTATTTCAATAGGTTACGACATTCGTCTTCAGGCGGTAGTTTCTCAATGCTCACTAGTTGCAGTCCCCATTTACGTCGAATAAACAATACACGCACCTGGTCAAACTAAATACAAACGTACGACACAATGTGAATCTATCGATGAAAGCATAGCTAATAAGGCATGACAAAAATGGTGATCTATATCGAACGTGCTTGTCACATAATAACGATCTTGATTAAGGCTCATTTTGAGGGCCTGTTCCTTCATTTTAGAGGATCAATTGTCAACATTTCGCTAACAAAGCTTTCCGTTCGAATACGACAAACGGCTTGTGGAACAACTCGCCCGCAGTATTGAACGTAGTGTTGCTTTAGTCAAAATGGCGAATTTATGCTACAAAATTCCACAAGCTGGCTTTTGATTTATGAACTGGTGGAACATAACGACGCCATTAGACAAGCAAATACTTTGTAAAAACTAATCTCGTGACTGTTCATATATCGAATCGTGGATTAAGTCTATCCATTGACCGTTAGCGTAGGATCTTACGACAGGGTTAAGTTAGAAGTTATATGTAGAATGGTAATTGGTGCCTACAGCACTGGACGGCTCTGATGCGACAGGATGGACTTACTTTACGCAGCTCGGTGATTTTGTGATTGAGACTATAGGCGACAAACTTCCTCGTTTCGATCCCGCTTCTAAATGGGCCGACAATGTTAAGAAATACTACGCATTGTTCAATGGCTTTCCCACACGGCTCGATGTTATACTGCAAGTTAGTGGAGGCGTTAACGACTGAAAGAGGTTCCTGAGCCTGAATGCTGAATAATTATTTTAACATTCATGTTTTTTTTTTGTTCTTTTAACACTCACTTATTTTTTTCTCATGTTTTTCAATACACAGATATATATTTGACTCACGATCTTAAACTCGATTCTAATGGACATGCATGATAAAAAATGAAATGCCCACTTGTGGGTCATTGTCAATAGCAAGTAATTGTTCATGGCTTGACGCTATGGCGTACGGAAGACTTGCTCATTATGAGTGCCGAATCATTATTTCGAAACAAAAACATTGAAGAAACTGTTGTCTTTTTTCTAATTTCATATTGCATACGGTATTAATGTGAAGATTGTCAATTCAAACTCTATCAGTTTGCTTACTAGTAGAACGAGCGCCCTTTAGGTGGTACAACCCACTTTGAAAAAGGCCTGTGGACACATTCGGGGTAAAATTGCAGTAATTATTCGCTGATAAGGTTTACTTTTTCTTTCGGGTCAGCGACAAATAAAGCACGTCCACGCTAACGTCAGTTCTCCTTCAGCCGTTCGTATGCCCGACGTCGATTGTAAATTTAGGAACACCCAAAAAAAACAGTAGTTGAACGTGACGCTTAATTTACCTGTTACCAGGCGAGTTCGCTGCGAACTGATCTTGTCGTAATTGTGATCGGTGCATAAACATATAGGGAACGAAAGCCTAAAGGTAAGATTCTATCCTTAGGACGAGCACGTACCCCAATGAAAACAGCGGCTATCTCGTGAAGAGTCGTGGATTCCTTTTCAACCAGATTACTTGAATTGTGTGATAAGCGGCCATTTTCAAAGAAGCCAACCACTCCGCGTTTTCTAATAATACCGGTTAATTCAACAGCGTGTGAATATTTTATGTTAGAACTTGATGTAGTTAGTCCATGCAAGTTAGTCCATGTCACTAAAGATTACGCTCCCAAGGATTCAATAATTTAATAAAGCTAGTTACTAGAATAATTTAACCAATTATTCAGCATGAATTACATAAGTTAGTCAGCATTTTTTATTCCGGCACAAAGGACAAAACGAAAACTACAGCAGCAATTTAGACTCAAATAAACATTGGCTTCCGCACGCACTCAATTTTTGCATAGAGTTGGGTTTTGAGTGGAAGACTCATGTCGGTTGTGCAATCTAATGCTCACAAACATCTCGATGTACTTTTACGTCAAAATCAACCTTGACAATAGCGAATACGTATCTATGCTAGGAGGTTTTAGACTCGAAACATTTGCCAACGCCGTTTTTTTTTTTCTATACAGCTTGAGAGTTTGGTAACACTGGTACGACGCTCTTAAGTAGAGAAGCAGTGAAAGGCGGACTAAATGCCACGTCAGGCCTAATCTAACGAAACATGGTCCGAGACCAAATCTTTGAGGGTGGCGCTCGGGTCACCTGCCGCAACTGAAAGCTTCGCGCAAAAGAGGTATTATTAAAGGTACGAAATCCTCCCAAGGGTTCAGGCATAATAGAAACATTAGCTTCTTGCGGCAAACGGATTAGTTACTCTAGCAAACACCATAGTTCGAGAAAAAAAAAAAGTGTGATTTTTGGTTCACATTATTGGTCACTGCCTCAAGTTAGAAACTTAGCTTTTGACAACAATGCCTGTTCACGTAAGTTTTTGACTTAAGTTTGTTCGGACATCGCTAACGTTTTTAGCCTTGTACCACAGTCCGAGAAAGCTTGACTGAGCACCTGAGAGTTTTCGGAACTCAAGTCCGACGCTACTAAACGGAATGAATCATATGAAGGGAAGTGCAAAATTAGTTATGATTCTATCAGATACTACAGTCGGTTGGCTCCATCTAAATACTGCTATGTAGATACTAGTGTCCTCATTCGGAGTAGTCATCTCCTTTATTCTTTATGAAACACACTTAATGATACCATGGTATTAAACTGGTAACTAAATGTAAGCAAAGCTTTTGTTAAAGATGTGATTTTTATACGAGCGTAGCCGTTCCTTTTAACTACACATACCCAGTGGTTTTGCGTGGCACGGTAGAATTTCCGTTTCCGCCAAAAAACATCGGCATCGTTGTCTGAGCCAATGGTCTGCTGGTCTGCTTGACATTGTTTCCACTTGACGTGAATTTACCTGATTCCATACCTCTTCTGTTGCTAGCCATTACATACGTCTAACAGAATAGGCAAAATAAACATTTCTGAGAGAGCTAGCTGTTGTATGACATACACTCTGGTTTGGTATCAAATAAAGTAGTTCTATATCTATATGTTCAATGCGAGATGTTCCTCTAAGTTGGCTGGAGAGTCGATTTACAGCGCTTATGTATCGAATTCCGGGTTCTAGAGAATATTTAGAATATAAGCTAAAGTTGGATTTAATTTTATGTTATAATTTTTTTTTTTTAGATTATTACAGATGTTTAGATAGAAAATTTTGGCCGGAAAAAAGCGCACAGGCAAAAATAACTTCATCAATGATAAAATCGATAAGCACGTAGGTACTAGTTACGACACCCATTTAGCACCGTAACAAAACTTATGTTAGTCTGAGAAGTAATCGTTTAAATTTCACTTTTAAAACATACTGCTTCTGTATTAGCCAAAAATTTATTAATTAGTATACATATAAATTTTATCCTAGGAGAAACTCGAATGTGTCCTTTTTTTATTTTATTGTTTATTTAATTTAAACAACACGTCCAATCTGAGTCAGAGACTGTAAAAAAAATAATACGCATTTTCGTATTCGTTGAAACGGTCGAAATATTCTTTGAAATATACGATATTGCTTTTACATGGTATCAATCAATCCGCGAATGGGAAGTGCAACGAATTTCCGCCTAGATCGTTCAAGTAGATCGACAAGTGGCTAGATCATTTCAAACAAACTGAGAAAACGCATTTTGCATAGCTTTGTTGTATTTGATACAGTATGATCCATTAATTAAGTATTAAGTTAATTTACTTACCCTCCTTAGCGTGCATCGTTAAAAAATAACTGCACCCCCTCGTACGTATCGTGTTGTATAAATAATCGAAGGTATCCACAGCTTTTAATTTTGACTGATATGATCTTATGATTGATTTGTCGAATGACGTTCTTCTTAAGGAATCAGCAATTATATTGTAATTCTTCCTATGGGCACGGAATTTATTACGTAATTACATAGGTCAATTTTTTCTTTCTAGCCAAATCTTCCCTATACTTGCTGTACCCAATATAACACAAATAAATAACGACATTTTTCGATTTTTATTTGTTGACATAGTATATTTACACGTATGTTCATATATAACTTCCTATAGTATCAATATATCGTCATGCGTCCAAGGGTCTATAGATATATACATGCAATTTTACACAATGCATATTGAATGTTCAATCCTTTTTATTTCTGCTTTACTACTTCCTTGTATTAATTACATTTGCCCATTTTGGAAATAACACAACGGTGGTGGGATCTTTCGTACAGCATGCATCTTTTTAGCATGGTACGCGTCTGAAAATAAAATACGAAACACGACGAACTATCTAATGTTTGAGTCTATTTAATTGAACTGTTTTCCGTTTCAATTCGAGGTAAACTATGGAACTTTGAGTTTTCAGATTTAAAGTTGCTTGCCATCTTTGCTATTCAGTGCCTATCTCCTTCACAGATTTTTATTGCTGACCTTCTGTCTGAAATTAATAGATATAATCAATAACTGATTGCATGAAAAACTGAGCCTTTATATGAACACCTCCATAATCCGCCACCAAATATCCATGCTTGGTAACACATCGTTAGTTTGGATAATTTAAACAAATGCATTCATTAAATGAAGCGCCAACATAAAGAAGAAGAAGAAGAAACAAATCAAATAGTAAATAAATTGTTGTCCAAAAGAATTTGCGGTGTATAACGTTAACCTTTAGCTAACAATTAAAAGCAACATTTACTGATTTATGACTCTTTGTCTCTCGTTTATGACTCGGCGCACTTTCCCTGCAACGTATATGTAAGTCATAGGCATATCAGAATCCAAATACACAGTGTTACCCATACCAAATGTGTAGCAATCTACGAAGACTAAAAACTATCGTTGTCATTGCGACCACTTGTATAAACAGGTCGGTGCTTTTACTCGTTACGATAAATAGAAGTAATTGAATGTAAGTTACCCAATTAATTAATTACTTCCTCCCTTACATTAATTTCTTCGCCGTTCTAGCTATAATAGTATGTTCTATTGAATCATAGTAGAGAATACACAATGTGCTGTCCTAGGAAATAGCGTCCAATCTCTCTCAGGGATCAGAGATTGGTAATATGGCCACTGATTCCTTGCATTTGTTCATTCCTACACTTTAATCATCCAGTAACATTTATGGTTGTGTGTGAGTGTCTAGTGGATATGTATGTTTACGTAACATATTTTAGGCAGTAGGGACCTCTTCTCCAACAGGTTCAATAGCTTATTTTGCAGCTGCTTCGTCTGCCCCAGTACCATCGAGTCCTTCGTCTCTATTGTTTAGTGGATCATCATTGGCAGTGACTGCGGCATTAAGATCTTTCTGCAGTTCCTCGAGAGCGGCCATTTCGGAAATCTGCTCGAGACTGTCTCGCGTCACATCCGGCTCTAGTTCGTCCTGAATGTCTTCCTCACTCATTGCGCTGCCTAATAAGCCGTCGCGAGCGACAGACCCTATCGAATCAGGCGTTTTGCTAAATTCCCTAAAAAAAAAAAGCCCCAGTACGTATGTGCTTCAATTTGCGTTTACATTTTAGTTATCCGTATACGCTAAGTTGATTTTCGGTATCACTTAAATCTCCAGTTCCTAATGTTTCAATGGATGCAATATTATGATCAAATGCGATGAATAGCTTAACATTATCATATGGTTAGTGGTTTGCTGGGCCACAGTTAAGTTAAAGTTATGAACTGTATAGATGAATTGGCGATAAAGTGAGATAACTTGAATACTATCAAAAGCCGCTGAGACACACCGAACATGTATAACGCTTATAGCTGAACCGCGTCGATTACTACTGCTCCCTAATGACGCTAGACTACCGCCACTAGCACGTCCCGGCTCGATACTTGGGCTGATGGCAACACCCTTAGTAGATCCAGTGGTTCGGTCATCCATATTGGGTTCGTCATCCTCCGCTTTAATCTGCTGCGAATTGAGAAATAGTTGATTTTCCATACACATATCTAACGTCATGCATCACCATAAGGATGCTACAAGATAACGAAAACATTACCTTGAGGTTGAAAACAGCGGCGAAACATGGTCAACAAAAATGATAGTAGATGTAAGCAAAATTTCAACGAAAAAGAAAGCGCTTACTTCTTCCCTGTACTCTTCTGTGTCTAGCGTTTTCTCTCTGTCATTTTGCTCGACCCTCTCGGAGCCGCCCGTCTTCGAAATGCCCGAGTCAGACTCCGAATGATCCTCAAGTTCACCGCCCGGCTCCGCCAATACATTTTCAAGCGTTAAAAGCCCCTCCTATGGCAGAGATAACAGCTATCATGCCATAATCTGACTATGTGTGGGTAGGATTGGAAGATCAAAGGATGTCTAGCAGAAATTTGATAAAGTATACGTTTGGCTTTTCTATGTAGCTACATACCTCAAGATCGGGTGTTTCGACCTCGATGAAAGTTTGTCTTCCGACTAGTAAAGCCGCAGACGTCCGTCGGGATTCGATCACTTTACTTCCCATCAAAACAGCACCCTGTGCACCTATCCTACTACAACATCCAATTTCCACAAAAGTAAAATGGCAATAATAACAATAACAGTTGTAAAGATAGCAATAATACAAACAGTTCCACAACTAATGTAGAAACGATATTTTTTTGGTTTGCATCTCTTAGCGCTGAAACATTCGCAATGGGCAATAATAAGAGTATGAATTCCATTATACACACGAGTGTATAATGGAATTCATACTCATTAAACTTACCTGCAAGACAGGTTAAAATTATTAACAATTTTGACCTGACTCACCTTCACCTCCAACATATATATATACCACTGCTCGTGAAACCCATGGAACTTAGGCCTTATTTCCATGCTAGATGGAAACGTGTTAGAACTGATGCCTTTTTCTCGTCTTGCAGTCCTGTATTATTCAGGACCTGTGCTGGATTCTCCACTAACAAAATGCACCACATTTCATTAAATGTTACCTTTCGAGGTAAGTTCGCATTGGAATGGTGCCTAACTGCGAATGACACGCATTTTTTTCAGGCAACCTCAGTCAACGATATGTTGGTCGTTATTATAAATGACATCTGACCCCTTTTCACGCAGCTTTTAAATTCGCTTTAACAGAAGTTTTTATCTTTATTTAAGCTTGTCAGTACGTGCTTTCACATGTTGTAAAAATGCAAAATTACAAAAAGGCCAGTTCTCCGATAGAAGAGGACGGCGCTTTAGGTCTTATGTTTCAAGTTTTACGTCCGATAGGCATTACATTAGACCGTTGACTCAGAGCACAAAACAAGATGTGTCTACATTTGCTTCCGAAGCTATAGCATTACATGTTCCTAAATTTAGCAGTCAAACACGTCACTACTACACCATTATGGGGACAGAGAGTATATAAGGAAAATATCTTAATAATACTTCGGGAATGTTAGCCAAGTCAGTAACAATATGTGAAGCAGAGCTTTGAAGCGATAAAATATAGGCACTTCTCTCCGATGCGTTGCTCTGAACGGTCGAATAGTACCAACCGAGGTAATACTCTAGTTTGATTGTTTAAGAGAACCTCATAGAGGAGTACTCCCCTTTAAGCATAACAGCTCGACTGACGAAATCGTCGCTTTGAATGGTCGTTTAGGTATTCTTGCTTTTCTGCAATATGGCCAAAACTCATATATGGGTTTTAATTGGATTCAGTGAGAAAATCCACGCCCTTGTAGTTAAAGGGACGGCCAGCACGAGCCTTGTCTTCAATGCTAAACTTACAGCTTCGAAAACGAGCAAACAACTTCTTGATCGTGCAGTTGACAATGATCTAGAACCCGTGTACCCCACAAATTTCTTTACGAGTTTTGGGTCACGTTCAGCCCTCTCTAAAAACGAAATATTGAAACCCACGTTGAGTATATTTTTAAAATCACCATTCTTAAGGGTTTGCAGAATTTAACTCAAATATATAGTTGAATCGACCACAGAGCCGTTAGAACACGTACAAAAACATAGAGGACAATCGTTTTTCTTCCCCCTACCCACATTGTTTGTAGTGCCAAAATGTCAACCGATTCAAAACTCGCTACAAACTTGTGCACAACCCAATGTACGTGGAAAATACTTACCATCTCGGTGATATAACCTCAACATGTGTGACCTGTTTTTCGTCAGCGTTAAGAACAGTCGGTGGGTTCTGCTCCACGGGTGATTCCTCATTCTCTGTTGAATTTTCTATGATTCGACAAAAGCCGCATCTCCATGTCACCATCAGATAGGTTAGGTAAACAATTCCCGCCAGCATGATGTATCCCAGTACAAAATAGATCATCCAGAGGACCTAAACAAGTTATCAAAAAATCCAAAATGGAATACAAGGATTGTCTCGCGTGGACACACGTTCTACATAACATATATATAATTATTTAATATTTCGTATTTGAGCCCGGTTCGATACGGATTGAGTAGGTACGAACCTTAACTGCACGATGTTGTTGAACGACAATGAAAGTAAACATATCTTCCCCGCTGAACCTAGGCAAATATTGGGTTTGTGGGGCAGTATTCAGACTGAGATTAGGCACCACACCGCCGATGGTTGTAAAAATCAAATATCCTGAAGCGAAGAATCGTAACGATGAGTTATTATTAGTAAGTTATTTATGCGCTGTGTCAGTTCGGGAGCAGGTATAACGAAACGATTGCGAATCTAGATTAAATAGGTTCTATATAGAACTAACTTACCGACATTACTTGTCCTAAAGAGACTTGTTTTACATTTTCCATATGGTATATTACTGCGTTCCACTCTTACAAGTACATAACGCGTACCATTCGTATACTAAAGCCTGCTAGACGAAGTAACAAGGAGCTGTGCACTCACCATAAAACAAGGCTGTCGTAAAGGGCACCTGATGCGTAACAGCAGCTACGGTCGCTCCAAATACACCAAACAATAGAAAGAACAGGGAAAGTGTCCAAAGGGGCAGAATGAAATCACCGCGAATCAGCCGAAGGTATTCGTTCACACTTTCTGGTTGAACAAGAACATTTCGTTCTGAAGTGGCCAGATCACCGATTACTGAAACCTCACTGGCTGATCTGCACTTACGCCAAGAAAAAGAAGTAGTAAGCAAATGTAAGTATTGCAAACGAAGCCATCCTTGTATGCTGAAGGAAACTGAGTTCAAAAAATGCGGTTCTTCAGGATATGTCACGCCAAACGTATGGCGGACTGATCACATCGAATATGTACTCGTTGACCAGCAAGCATTAGTTATCCTATAGTTACAATACATAAACGATAGAGAAAGCTCAGAGTCTGCAATGTCTAAAGATATTCAACCGGTAACATTGATGAAATTTCTTCAGGGATACATAACACGCAGTCTACTATGCACAAATAAATCGAGGAAACAAGGTACCAAGCAATAGGGAATCTGTACCCTGTAAAAGAAGTAGCGCTATTCGCTTGCCGTAGACCACGTGATACGATTTGGCTAGGTAGCAATCCAGGAGTGATGCTACAATTCCGGCGCCGCAATCCTGACAAAAGACGTCTTACGAACGATGAGTCGATCTTCCTAAGCGGCGACATACCACAGCAGCAGGAATGGATGCAAACCAAAAGCCAAAGTTGCGCCATTGACCGACCCATGAGAATGAGCCAACAGATAGCGAGAGGACCTCCCAACAACGTATAGATGACAACCAAAACCTGAACTTCGTCAGGGAGCCGTAGCAGATTTCCCGATGCTAGTCAAACGAAACGAAATGGAAGATCAATGGTCACAGAAATGGTATTTTCGTAGAAAATAGTAGAAAAATTATTTTCATATGATACGATTATGGCAACGCGCACAGTAATTGTTCGAGTGTTTGGAGCTCGCAAATGTTTTGTTAATGATCGCGCGCGAGTGACCCAGTTTATTCGTAGCCTCCTTGAGCAGACACGTTTTATAACACACTGTTTTAAATAGCAGACATATGTTAACCTATTTGATGTTGACGTTATTCACCCACCGCATTCGACTTGCAGAAGCGGGAACGGTGCTCAAAATACGATGTCAACAACTGTCGCAGCATATACTACAAAGTACTAACATACCTGTAGCGGTTAGTAGAGACAAAGTGAAATAGAGTGAATTTTCATAAGTAGCTCCCGGACTGTCCAAGTTTCGGCGGCCCTTCTCATCACGGGCAGTAAGTAGGAGCTCGTCGACAGGGCTTCGAGAACGAGAACGAGAACGCTCTAATTCACGTTCGTATGTCATGAGATATCTATCAGAATGCAACGCAGAAAAACAAATGCACGTATAACAAACACTAGAAATCGTTTCGTAATAATAATAAAAAAAAAAAAAAAAAAAACTCGAACCCTTATTTCGTAGGAGCCGCATTTCTTGAACAAGTTCTCAAGCTTATATGGCGAAATTCATAGAAGTTAAAATTATCCTTAGCGGCCAGATTTAAGGATTTCCCGTGAGAGAGGATAATTTTCAAAAAAATATAGTTTATGGACTTAAAAAAGTTAAAAATTATTTGTACATTTAAAAAATATTATTGTTGTCATATTAAAATATTCAAAGAAGTGTCCCTATGATGTTGCAACACTAACGTTTTTCTTGTTAGACTTAGGGACACGTGGGGCTCTAGATTCGAAACCTGGCATAAGCACATTTCGTTTTATGTTGATAGCCAGTTGTCTAAAGCGGTGAACACAGTGAGAGTACAGGGTAAAAACTAAAAACACTTTAGATTTAAAAAATTAGGTAACTTGCAAAAACGGTCAATATAATATTCACATTAGATTGTTCAAGGGAAAAACATGCAATGTGAGATAATATGTATAATAACAATAATCGATCTAAATCTAAAATATATTATATATTGCACATAGGTTCCCCTCCCAAATCAATTATCTCTAGTCCAAGAAAATATTTTCTTGGATAGATTTGGCTGTTACAGTGCCTCTGAGTCTATTGCACACGATCTAAATCGGCGATAGGGAGCTTTGATAGAGTGATGGTGACCAATTTATCGAAGCACTCCAGATCAAACTATACATTTTATCAGCTAACGCCATATATTCGTTTATAATTATCGAAATACTCTAATACCCATTTGCAGAGAGTTTCCTCCCAATTGTGATTATTTCGAAACTCTCTTCCTACATATTTTGTATGTCAACCTAAATTATGAAAATTGAAGATTGCCAGAAAATTCTAAATGTGTAGAAAGTTCTATACTTCCTTTAATATCATATTGGTTTGTGTAAGGAGTAGAAGGTAGGTAATCCAGAAAATAAATGCTGGAGTTTTTGCTATTTGAACTTTTTTTTCTAGAATGTTCTGATGACTTTCTGTATTAGAGGAATAATAACGCATAAAGTATGTCTTAATTCAGCAAATCTATACAACTGGATTTTGGAAGTATCTGGCAAATTACTCAGGTTCCGATAGTTGTCACATTTTTTGTCAGATGTGAAATGGTTTACTAAATAAACAGCTTGAAGCTTTTTTTTCATTATTAAAGGATCTGGTGATCACGCTCCATCTGAGCACTAGTACCATTATAATTATTGGATATAATACGAAAAATCAGATCAGTATATTTCATTGCTTCAAATATGAGGAAGACATCATTTGCTTCTATTCATTTTTTATGATTTTCTTTTAAATTTGTTATATTGTGCAGGCCCCAGTCAACTTTACGGACTGCATTTAACTGCGTGTTCCTCAAAGAGCGCCATTTTCAGTCGTTGCAAAAAAACTAGCAAAATTAAAGCCAGTGGGTCTTCTCTCTTATAACATTTCCCGTTTTTCTTTTGGAGGGTCGAACACGTTAACTGTTGGTCTAAAACTTTCAATTCGCTAGCTAGTTATTAATACTGCCCCCTTGCTGAACACCTATCGCTTTGCATAGCCATGCATATAAATTCCGAATATGGCTGGAAGAGTTTAGCAGGAGAGGTCATTGTTTTATAAACGGCTGAGGAATTAATATTTGCACGTCATCGAGTATTATACAGGCGGGATTTAAAATACGACCATTGCGAGCTCTGATTCGAAATCCTTAGAAGTTGTCTTCAGGTGCTACTGAGGTTCGATGTTGAGTACTAAGTAGTTCCTGTAATAAATGCGACTCACTGTCGTTTCTGAAACTTTGTTCGGTCGAATAAATTCGTGCACTCACGTAAACAAAGAATAAAGCATATCTATGGAGCTCGTATAATAGAAACAAGCAGGTTCGAAAGATGTATGGAAGATACTAATAAAATGGGTATAAGCATAATATGAGCGTTACAAGGGCATAGAATCAATGTCTAAACGAACCAACAGTAATAATTGAAGAGTCTGGTTATGTAAGATAAAAAGAGTATAGTACCTCTTATGCCATTCAAGCGTACGATACGAGCATCGGAGATGTTCAGAAAGCAGAAGATAAAAACCGGTCCAATATAAACCATGGCCGCGAGCGATAAGGGCCATTTTTATAATATAAAGCTTCTAATGTCCAAATATCCAACACATGAAAGACTTTCACACATAGAGACCGTGCACAGTAAGACTCATAAATCGCTGTTCGCCTATATGTCATTGTTCCTTTCTCCGTAATTATGCTGTATAGTTATAATGTTTAATCGATTGCTGTCCTAGTTTATTGCAAAAAGATTCATTTGAACCCGCGTAATTACAGAAGGCACAGCGGTGCATTTAGGTAGGTCGAGGTTACGCTCCATCTAATCTGAACACGGTACAATCGTTAAATCGTAAAGACCCGTTATCGTTGCTACTATGCAATCCTAGCAATATTACTAGCTATAATAAATCGGCGCCATTTACCAGCGAATGCACACATTCTAACGCTAATCGTTGGGGCATGCTGTTTAGGCCGAGTCACTACGTGCCAAATTATGTTTACATACTTAATTAACAAAAAAGATTCCCTTTATCCATACAGACTATCTGGTTTTTATACGACTGGAAACAGCGATTTCATAAAACTTACATGAATATCTACAAGTTGAACTACTGATTTGTTATTGCATGTTACCGCTAGATGGCTCTGCGTAACAAAAGCTCGTGCACACTTATCTAATACGTGTTCATTTTGCTATTGCAATGCAACAGTTTCCAATACCTTTTTGGTACGTATGAATCATGACATTGAGCACATCATTCATGCAGCAACTTACCTAGACATGGCCTGAGCAGCCTTTCCAGTCTCTTGGCCAGCCAATTCGTTTGCTATTAAAAGAGCAGTATCATTCCTCAGTCGTTCCAGCTTCTCCTGCAAGGACACATCCTGCGTTGACGGTCCCATAACCCCCATAAAAACACTAGCTCCACTCACAACGTACAGGAGAAGCACGATTGATAAGCCGAAACGAATTAAGAGTGGTTTTAGCCAAGGAGATGACTGAAATGCCTCTTTGAAGCGTGCTACAGCCATGGCGTCCCCTAGGGGGTTGTCGACAACGAAACACCAATGCAATTCAGAAGCACTCGTTGATCCGAGGTCAGTGAAACTTTTCCTTCTCGTCTTGGCCAACAAAAGTCTAACCTTAAGTCAATCGGACTTCTCGAATCGGACAGCAGCGCTAATCCGGGGAGCAGATATGAAACACGTGTTTTGGGCTAGATCAGTGCTTCTTCCCTTTCCTAACCGGAACAACGATAATGAATACAGATGATTGTAGCTAACTCCAATACAGAGTTCTGCGCATTACGTTGCCAGGTATATTTCGGCACTTACACAAACACTTTTGGGAAGGTATCTTCGGCTGTCGTCGATCCAACGACTGCGCTGATACTCGTAGCAACTGTTGAGCGAAAACCTGTATGAAGAAATGTGAGTATCGATTTTTGCTTAGCATAAAATTAACACCAGTCAGTCAGATCCAGTTAAGTAATAAGGGGACATTTACCTTACGCCATCTACGCGTACTACTACAACAAAGCTGAAAAAGAAAATCATTGACTACGGTGCAGTGGTAACGAAGCTGCTCGCCACTGTGAAGGACCGACCGTGGACGATAGAAAATTCAATGAGGAATTCAAAAGGGGCTAGCTCAGACGATGCGATTACCTAACATGAATTAAATAGATGCCAACAGGTTCATCGCTAGTTCGGCTCAAACTGAATTATGAAAAAAGTAAGATGTCTACCACGTATTTTTTTAAACACTAACTGTTCGTAGCTTTTGGTCTACCTGGGGATCACTGACCAACATTTTGGAAAGGGAAATATATATTTGTAAGTTTTGCTATTTCTTAAGTGTTCAGCATCTCATTTAGGTAAGTTTAGAGCATGCTTATGTGCAAAACATCTAAAAAAATATGAAGAGTTAGTCTAGGCGAAACTATGTTTTAAAAAAAAATCACGATACGTTTAGTAAAAACGTAGGTTAAGGATGTCAAATAGCCGTGTACTGCTTGAGTGTTCTAAAATTGGTAAATTCATCATGCGCGGTGTGGAATGTGTCCTTTCATCCCAAGTTTACAATACGATGCAGGAAGCACTCCAAGTATCGGCTGTTTCCGAAAAGTGTAATATCAAAAAGGTTGAACGGTTATCCTAAATTTAACCACAACCTAAGCACTAGGTTAACCATCAACACAAGACACAATAGAGAAAAGCATCTAACCTAAATTAGCGTCTTCAAGTCCGAGTCGCCGTACTGCCCTCCGGATTTCGACCGGCAACACGCTTTTGACGCTGCCTAAATACAGAATACCCGTACTCACAAAAATAGGTGGAGAGGGTATTCTGTCGTAATGTAACAGAGCCAGAAGGAGGGGCGCAGCTTCGTGAATCGAGGAAGAGAACGAGAGGACTCTGGTTTAGGGCTGCGTTTCCGTGTTCACGAGGGGCGCCAGAGAAGGGGACCACGAACGCTGACCCTATTGTTACCAGTGTTGTAGGCAGTCCTCTGTATATCCTCTTTCTCTCTCACCCTCGAAAAAGTTTTCAGAGGTGGTGCGTCGAGCCCGATTTATTGTGCTTCGAAATGCACTGTTACATTGGCTAAACTGGTCAGTTCTATTAATTTATCTCCATGAAAGACATACCAATAATATAGTAATTGAAATACAATAATTTTGACGCGCTGATCGCAATCGAAGTCATATTGAGGCATTTTTTGCCAAACCCACTCTTACTACAATACAAAACACAAAGGCCAGCGACCTCAAAAGGTTCGGAAAGGGTAGAGGTCGGATACTTCCTCCTAACTACACACCTCTACCCTGGGGACTTTGACAGAGCTAAGTTCGACGTCGGCGACCTGTGAAACGCCATCTTTCTTCTGCATTATTACGGGCCGGCCTAGTGTCGCACATCAATAAAGAACAGCTGGCTTGAGAAATTCATATTAATTCGCGCGTAACTCTCTTGTCTTTTGTTCATCGATTTTAATGTGATGTCACACGATATTAATCTTTCGTTTCCATATTCTCTTACTGTTTACAATACCCTATTTGCTTTTTTTCATCTAGTGTAAGACGTATAGTAGATGGGTATCATCATTTTTACGAAATTATAAGTGTTTTTTCTGTCGCTGTCACTTAAGCGCCGATTTTAAAGGCTTTACAGCGGTATTGGCTCTATCATCGATCGACTGGACAAAATGTAAAAGAGTGAGAAGTACCGATGGCCACATCTATTCGTCTAAATCATTGTCGGTTGCGCATATATCATATGTAGGTTATCGCCAGCATCGACAGTCTAGACCGTGCCTTATTCGTCCTACGGTAGATTATCTCGGAATCAACAAATAGGCTATGCTAGTACAACTGACCTAAACCCTCTTTATTCTCGGCTCAGAACGAAACGCCAGAGCTGCTTTCTCGATCTGCCGAAAAGTTCGGCCACAACCACAACCATTATGCAAACTGATGGCAACGACCCAAAGAACGCGTCGATAGGTTTCATTTAAATAAATGTAGGTAACATGTCGATCGACGATGCGCCTTGCCGGCCTTATATTGCGCCCATGGTTGCCATTTCTCTTCCGCGCTGAATACGACTGAAGGACGAACACATAGTACGTATGCCTGCTTATAGTTGAATAATTCAAAAAATTGCGCATTCACTCCCTACTACGCGAAGGTAGAGTTGTAAATCCATTCATATAGTTGGGTACCTCAATGTGTCAGTAGGTTAAAATGACATGTTGCAAAGAACTCCATCATCAGCGTTCACGTGATAGACAAGGCATGAGCTAATCGATATCGAAAACACGAGCTAGAGCGTTACTTCTTCAAATCGGTCACTAAAATATGTTCGGTACTAATATTCGATGATAATAATCACGATAACTATCATGAGGTCAAATGAAGGTTGGCTAAAATTTAAACTTAGCGTGGTCCACGTTCAAAAAACGTTTGTTTAATTTAAAAATTTTTTTGACTTGGATTATTTGCATCGACTTCAGTAAGTTTGTTTGGAATGTTAAGCGACGCTAGGAGAAGTTAGTCACAGTTCGATATTTTTGAATTGATAGTACCATGTATAACAAATAGAAGAGAGCAATCATCAATAAAAATTGATTTCAAGGGCCATTAAAATTCGAAGTGTTAGCAGTATTTTAATCGAACTTGAGGCTCTGTGAAGAAACTTTTAGTGAACCTCTACCATTTATTTTTTGTTCCGAAGGGTAATACATGAATCCGTATTTGCAGAAAAAGAAAAAACGGTATTGTTCGGAAGGTTACGCTCGCTACTAATAAACTTCGACTAGTTTCTTGCCAAAGTTGACCTCGAAATTGCAAAATAAAGATATCTTCATGATGTAAAGCACTAACTAGTAACAAAGCTCTGGACCAACCAAAAAACGATTTAAATCTCTTTACTTTGAAAAAAACAAAGGTATATAAAAAATGAATTAATATGAAAGGTAGGTTAAGATTTTTTTAGATATTTCTCTCGCTTAATTTATATATATGAACGCTTAGCTTTTTTTTTACTTCGGTGAAACTGGGACTAATCCGAAGATTTTCTTATCTGTGTTTCTGCCGTAAATTAGTACTACCATATGTAGCAAAATACCTTCGGTCAAAGCATGGGTCGTGCTGGCATTTACGCCGCTGATGTTCTTGATCCGAAACATCTTAAATGTACTCATGATTTACGTGCGTAAATTTCGTACAGCTTTAAATGCCTGTCCCGAAGAATGAACTTTGTAGAATTTATTCGATCGCAAACTTACCGGTGGTGAGCTCGTTTACTTATTCGCCTAAGAAAATAAATAAAGTTCATAATATGTTGTTAATGAATATGCAATTAGCTTCATGTTTCTGCCGGTACACCTTCCTCTTTGGCCCTTTTCGCATATCCAATTGGCCTAAGTCATTAGGCAGAAGGCTATCGTGACATACAAATGTTATACTTGCTGCTACCAGCTGACCTAAATCGAAGCATGTACAAAGCTTTTCAAGCTTTTGCTGCAGTTACATTAAACAGATAGAACTAGCTAGGTGTTCATGCAACTGAGCCCTAATACTTCAGCTGTGTCACGACGCTTGTACATCAAACCGGATCGGCCTCATCTCTTCGAATTCGCGAAGACCGTTACCGTCACAAAAATGCCTTAGTTAGGTATGTGATCGGATATTAATTACTCAAGTAGAGTACGCATATTCTTGCATAAAAGAAGTCGAAGCCAAAAATAACCCATATGAAACGGGTCCGTTGCCCAAAGATTTCTCAACGCAACGGCAAAACAACGGATGCTACCACCAAAATTGCGCGCGTAGAGCTCGTTACCAAAAATTTTTCTGGAAGGAACGTGCCACCACATTCGCTGGAATAAACAGCTACATACTCCTCGTACAATTCGCATGACCCTTTTTTTTTGGTTGTTTTTACATTGCAGCAATAAAGTAGAGTCCTTATATTTTACTAGAATTTAATCAATTACGGTACCTCACACATCCTGAGTGGACAGGAACACTTGAATACTCCACATTGTTTTTCATGCAGCTAAACTGTGATAATGAATGAGAGAAGTTATAAGAGTTAATGATAAGTCCATTAGATTTTACGACAGTGACGTTTGATCATCTTAGATGTACGATGCTCTCCAAGTCTCTAAGCAGAGGAGAGCTTAGCTTGGCCCATTTACTTACTTACTTGCTTTTAACTTTATTATCGCCGTTAATAAGAAACTATACAAAACTTATCAGCATTGTTGTAGAAGATGCTCGGGCCCCAAATCCCTGACTTTGCGTTTAAAACCGCCTCAAATAATTTAGGCACATTTAGAAAAAAAAAATACAGCTGTGTATCAATTTCAATTGCCGAGTTCTGCGGAAACTTTTAAAGTTATAATTTTTTCCATATTTGCACTCGATCTAACGTGACATGAGCCTATTCGCAAACGTGTTGAATACACCCGCAGATATACCTACTGACTCTAATAAACACTTAACAATTCTTTACTTAAACTGTTTAAAACGGTCTCGTATTGCGCGGAATATACTTTAGGTCTCGTTTTAAATATACGTGTAGCTATCATAACCGAAACGGGTGTACAGATTTTTTTTTTTAAGAAACGCCTGTATTCACTCATATGATAAATAGAAATGTATATGTTTTCTGATCATTTTCTTATTCGTAATCAATAGATCCTTTATTACTACTTAGCGTAATAGTCAATAACGTACTCAGCTGTAACGAGCTGTTAGTATGAATGAAAAATGGATTACTAAGAAAAAATATCAAGTCATTTCATTTAAATTTACCAGTCTACGCACACTGATTCAGAGATAATAAAGTATAAAGGAGCTTTATTTAAAAACTTACTCAAAGTCCCTTTTCGTCATCAAGTTTATTATTCACTCAGAATGAATGCCATTACTGTGACCTGAATACACTTAAGAAGATGTATTTTGACAGGTTAGTGCATCCTTAGCCTTTTGTAAGCTCAGAGACCCATGTTTTTTTTTTGGAAATCTGTTCCGTTGAGTTTGGTCTTCATCCATGCCTAATTTCCTAATTTTTTTCTTCCTGTAGATCGTCCTGCAGATTACCTGATTAATTGAAATTACCTTTTATGGGAAAGCAAGACGATTTAGCTTTATAGTCATGTCTACAATACACGACCTCAAGGTTTCAAATTCGAAAAAAAAATAATATTTAGGATACCAAATTTATGTCGTAGGTACCCGATTTCTGTTAATAAAGGTAAACTTTTGCGCAACGTAACGTTTTACAGCGCTTCGTTGCTACCACACTCAAGACCCATGAACAAAATTTTTGGACGCATTGTTGGCCATGCAATGACAAACAAACTCTTCTATTAAATGCCCAAATAAAAAACTTTTCTGTTACGGCCTAGGTCATGATCCCATTGATGTGTGGAAATATACCTCAGAACCATTCTAAATTGTTACGAAGTGACTCATATCGATGTTACTCTGTTCGCCTATGGGTGCACAGAAATCAACCACTGATACCAGGGTCAGAAACGGCTCTATGCAAGACAAAGGTTCGACGCAGACGTATCAGACACACTATACCTATAAACATAATGTATCACATCAAACAATCCATAATAAGTCCATGCCTTATCAACACGAACTAAGAGAACTCGCTAGTCGAAAAATCTGACACCTTGACGCTGGAGTTTCTAGAAGAGCCTTACGATGATATAGTCTATCAAGTTTATTTACTCTTTAAAGTTTGATATATGTAAATTTGATGCCACAAGTAAGATGTCTTGTTGTACATGGATTAAACAAACAAGTAGGGTTCAAAATAACGCGGACTTAACACCGTTTTACCAGTGTTTAACAGCAAAGCTAGTAAAAATAGTATTCGAAGCAAATCTTTGCATAATC